GAGGGGGAGGATCAGGAAAAAGGAAGAGGAGGAGGCCTTTGGGCGCCTCTTGGGGCACTGTTGGGGCTCTTGGAGGCCTCTTTGGGGCCTCCTTGGGCCTGCTGGGAGCCTTGGGGGGGTTCTTGGGCGTCTCTTTGGCCGTCTTAGGGCGTTCCTGGCTTGTCTGACGCCGTCGGAAGCCGTCATGGGGGCCTGTCTGGGTCGTCTTGGGGCCCCCTTGGGGCATTTGAGGGACGTTTTCGAGGCCATCTTGGGCGTTTTGGACACCTCTTGAGCCGTCTTGGGGCCCTCTTGGGGCCGTCTTGGGGGCTTTGGGGGCCGTCATGGGGCCATCTTGGAGGCATCGTGGGCGATCTTGGGGGCCTCTTGGGCCGTCTTGAGCCGTCGGAAAACCGAGAAGAAGCAAATACCAAAATCCTTCAAAACCCTAAGGAAAAGCAATGATTTTGGTCTCTTCGGGCGCTCCTGGACGGCCTCTTGGGCGCCTCTTGGGGGCCTCTTGGGCCGTCTTAGGCAGGTTTCGATGCATCTTGGGCGCAGTCTTGGAGGCATCTTGGGGCCATCTCAGCCGTCTTGGAGGCCACCTTGGCCGTCTTAGAGGCCTCTTGGGGGCTTCTTGGGGCCGTCTTGGAGGCCTCTCGGGCCGTCATGGGGCTATCTTGGAGGCCTCGTGGGCGATCTTGGGGGGCTCTTGGGCCGTCTTCAGCCGTCGGAATGCTGAGAAGAAGCAAATGCCAAAATCCTTAGTGATGTTGGTCTCTTCGGGTCCTCCTGGAGGACCTCTTGGAGGCCTCTTGGGCCGTCTTGGAGACCTCTTGGGGGCCTCTTGGGGCGTCTTGCAATATTGAAGCCATCTTAGGCCGTCTTGAATGCATCTTGGGCCGTCTTGGAGGTAGATTGGGGTCATCTTAGCCGTCTTGGAGGCTATCTTGACCGTCTTGGATGCCTCCTGGGGCACTCTTGGGGCAGTATTGGGGGCCTCTTGGGCCGTCATGGGGCCATCTTGGAGGCCTAGTGGGCGATCTTGAGGCGATCTTGGGGGCCTCTCGGGCCGTCTTGAGCTGTCGGAATGCCGAGAAGAAGCAAACGCCAAAATCATTCAAAACCCTGAGGGAAACCAATGAGTTTGGCCTCTTCGGACCCTCCTGGAGGACCTCTTGCAGACCTCTTGGGTCGTGTTGGGCCGTCTTGGAGGCTTCTTGGGCGAACTTGGAGGTGTCTTGGACTCCTGAGCCGTCTTGGAGGCCGTATTGGACCATCTTGGGCGGACTTGGAGGCCATTTTGGAGGCCATCTTGGGCCGTCTTGGGAGATTCTTCCGGGATTGAGATCCTTTTCGGGTGGCCGGCGGGACGGGCCGAAGCGCCAGGGGGAGTTCTTTTGGAAAACGAGCCAAAATCAAAACCGAAAGGATCTAGCACGCCAGGCACCCTTGTAGCAAGCCAACAGGGGGCGGCGAATCGAAGACGCCTACGGCGACTCACCGCCGCCCCCTGCCTTTTTGGAAGCGCCTATGTGGCCGAACGTTGAGGCCAGACCTGCCAAGCTATCGGACCATGTGTTCCCCGAATGGTTTGGAAAGCCTTCGGGGAACACGTGGGCATCTTGAAGGTCATCTTGGCCTTCTGGAGGCCATTTTGACCCTTTCGGGCCTTCTTGGAAGACGTCTTGGAGGGCTCTTGGGCCGTCTTGGAGGCCACCTTGAACGTTTTGGAGGCCTCTTGGGCCGTATGGGGGGCCTCTTGGGGCCGTCTTGGGCGATCTTTGGGGGCATTTGGGCCGTCTCGGGCCGTCGAAAGGCAGAAAAAAAAGCGAATGCCACAATCCTTCAACAACAATTTATAATCCATGATTTTGGCCTTTTCGGGCCTTCCTGGAGGCCCTCTTGGAGGCCTCTCTGGCCGTCTTGGGCCATCTTAAGGCCATTTTCGGCAGTCTTGGTGGGCCCCTGGCCCGTCTGACGCCGTCGGAAGCCGTTTGGGGGGTCTCTCTGGGCCGACTTGGGGCCCTCTTGGAATGCTCCAGGACCGTCTTGGAGGCCATCTTGGGCGTCTTAAAGGCCTCCTGGGCCCCCTTGAGGGCATCTTGGGGCCGTCTTGGGCCGTCATGGGGCCATCTTGGAGGCCTCTTGGGCGATCTTTGGGCAATCTTCGGGGGCTCTTCGGCCGTCTGGGGCCGTCGGAAGGCCGAAAAGAAGCAAATGCCATAATCCGTCAAAAACCTCAGGAAAATAATTGTTTTTGGCCTTTTTCTGGCCTTCCTGGAGGCCTCTTGGAGGCCTCTTGGGCCGTCTTGGGCCAGCTTCGAGCCAACTTCGGCCATCTTGGTGGGTTCCTGGCACGTCTGACGCCGTCGTGAGCTGTCTTGGGGGCCTCTCTGGGTCGACTTGGGGCCCTCTCGGGGCGCTTCGGGGCCGTCTTAGAGGCCATCTTGGGCGTGTTGGAGGCCTCTTGGCCCGTCTTGGGGCCCTCTTGGGGCCGTCTTGGGCCTCTTGGGCCATCTTGGAGGCCTCTTGGGCGATCTTGGGGCGACCTTGGGGGCCTCTTGGGCCGTCTTGGGCCGTCGGAAAGCCGAAAAGGCGCATATACCAAAATCCTTCAAAAACCTAAGGAATATCAATGATTTTGGCCTCTTCGGGCCTTCCTAGAGGACATCTTGGAGGCCTCTTGGGCCGTCTTTGAGGCCTCTTGGGAGCCTCTGGGGCCGTTTTGGGCCATCTTGAGGCCATCTTAGATTGTCTTGGGTGCATCTTGGGCCGTCTTGGAGGCAGGGGCCATCTTAGCCGTCTTGAAGGCCGTCTTGGAGGCGTCTTGGAGGCCGTCTTGGGCCATCTTGGAGCCGTCTGGGGCAGGAAAACCCACGGCAACCACATCCGGAAGAGCCTCCCGGGACCCCGGCGGGACGCGCCGAAGGCCCAGGGGGAGTTCTTTTGGAAAAAGAACCAAAACCAAAACCGAGAGGGTCTAGCACGCCAGGCACCCCTGCGATGAATCGACAGGGGGCGGCGGATCTAAGACGCCTACGGCGAATCACCGCCGCCCCTGCCTCTGTGGAAGCGCCTATGTGGCCGAACGTTGAGGCCAGACCTGCCAAGCCATCGGACCATGTGTTCCCCGAATCGGTTTGGAAAGCCTTCGGGGAACACGTGGGCATCTTGAAGGTCATCTTGGCCGTCTTGGAGGCCCTCTGGGCCTCTTGGGCGATCTTTCGGCGATCTCTGGGGGCTCTTGGGCCGTCTCGGGCCGTCGGAAGGCCGAAAAGAAGGAACTGTCAAAATCAGTGAAAAACCTAAGGAAAATTAATGTTTTTGGCCTCCTGGAGGCCCTCTTCGGGGCCTCTTGGGCCCTTTTGGGCCAGCTTCGAGCCAACTTCGGCCATCTTGGTGGGTTCCTGGCACGTCTGACTCCGTCGGGAGCCGTCTTGGGGGCCTTTCTGGGCCCACGGGGGACCCTCTTGGGGCGCTTCGGGGCTGTCTTGGAGGCCATCTTGGGCGTCTTGGAGGCCATCTTGGGCGTGTTGGAGGCCTCTTGGGCCGTCTTGGGGCCCTCTGGGGGCCATCTTGGAGGCCACTTGGGCCGTCATGGGTCCCTCTTGGGGGCCTCTTGGGCGATCTTGGGGGCCTCGTGGGCCGTCTGGAGCCGTCGGAATGCCAAGAAGAAGCAAATTCCAATCTCCTTCCGAAACCTGCAGAAAATCAATGATTTTGGCCTCTTCGGGCCCTCCTGGAGGACCTCTTGGAGGCCTCTTGGGCCGTCTGGGAGGCGTCTGGGGGGCCTCTTGGCCCGTCTGGGGCCCTCTTGGACTCTCTTGGGCCGTCTTGGAGGCCGCCTTGGACCATCTTGGGCGGACTTGGAGGCCATCTTGGAGGCCATCTGGGGCCATCTTGGAGGCCACCTTGGAGCTGTCTTGGGCAGAAAATTGGGGCCGTGGGAAAAATCCCGGGACCCCAGCGGGACGGGCCGAAACCCATTGGGAGAGTTTTTTTGGAAAAAGAGCCCAAACCAAAACCGATAGGATTCGGCACGCCGGGCACCCCTTTGCTAAAGCGAAAGGGGGCGGCGGATCCTAGTGGCCTTCGGCCCATTCCGCCATCGTGCCTGGGTTGTGGGTCTGAGGCCTCTTGTATATGTGTGGGGGTGTCGTGGGGAGCCTCTCGGAGGCCTTTTGGGACCACGTGGAGTATCTTTTGGGCCTCTTGGACGACTCTTGGGGCCTCTTGGCGGCCTCTTGGGGCCTCCTTCGGGCTTCTCGGGGCACAAATATCGAATGTTCGGTTCGTGGTCCCCTGCTTGGGCCCCTCTTGGGGCCGTCTTGAGCTCTTCTTGGACCATCTTGGAGCCCTCTTGGGCCGTCTTGGGGCCTTCTTGGAGGCGACTTGGCCTGTATTGAGGCGGTCTTGGGAGCTTCTTGAGCCGTCTTGGAGCGTCGGAAAGCCGAAAATGCGAAAAGGCCAAAATCCTTCAAACATGTTCGTAAAATCTACGATTTGGACCTCTTGGGGCTCTCTCGGGAGGCCTCTTGGAGCGCTCTTGGGGCCTCTTTGGACCCTCGTGGGCCGTCTTGGAACCATCTTTGGGCGCCTTGGAGCACTCTTGGCATCGGCAGTGCGAATGTGGTGTAAGTTACACATGTTTATGGCTTCGGGGACTCGAATATTGTGTAATTTGCAAGGGTGCGTTGCCTCGGGAACGCAACAATTGTATAATTTACGAGGGTGTGTGGCCGCGGGGACGCGAACACTGAGTAATCTACAGGAAATTGTGGCTTCGGGAGCTCGAATCTCACCTATTCTCACGTGTCCCACCCCCCCCCCCCCGGGAACTCAGACAACGCGATCCGGACGTGGCAACTGGGTCCTTAGGGTGCCCCCCCTTGCGTGGACTTGAAGAATGTACAGTAGTAAGCAGACAGCAGGATTGTAAGATTGGAGACTTGAAACGGCAACTGGCGCAGGGAGCAGCAACTTCGCTCTACAGCTTGGTGGCCCCACAAGGAGCCCAGCGGATTTCTGTTTTGACGGCTTTGTATGGCATCAATGACGATCAGCTCTCGGTGACCGTTGCTTTGTCATCAGTCCGGTCAGCTTCTGCCGCGTGGGATATCGGGTTTGAGATAGTGGCACCCATAGGTTCTGCCGAGCAAGTCTTTGAGACGACGAACGCGATGACGAACGACTCTTCTAATCTCACATCGTCTTTACAGACAAACTTCCAGTCGAAAGGCATCGAGCTGGTAGCATCCTCGATGACGGTCAGAACACCAGAAATAAAGATTGTGACCGCCACCGTGACAACTGTCAGCGTGACAACTGTGAGCGTGACTTGGACCAGCACAACGGCGACCAGCGGCACCACCTCAGTCAGCACGACCAGCGCCACAACCCCGTCCACCTCCACCACAAGCAGCACCAGCGCAACGAGCAGCAGTTCGACTCGTACTAGTACCTCCCAGACCAGCACGAGCACTGCACACACCACGACGGTGACCAGCAGCACCAGCTCGGGGCACACCACGACCATGACCAGCAGTGTCACGAGGAGCAGCGCCAGCGAGACCAGCAGCGCCACTGCGACCAGCACGTCGGTGAGCAGCATCACAGCAACCAGCACTGGGAGCGTTACCAGCACGACTGGGACCAGCAGTGGCACGCGCAGCAGCACCAGCGTGACCAGCAGCAGCACCGTGACTACCACCACGTGGAGCAGCATAAGCGCAACAAGCTCCACAAGTGTGACCAGCACAAGCCAGACAAGCAGCACCACGCGAAGCAGTACCAGCGAGTCGACCAGCACCACTCTCAGTAGCTCCAGTACAACTGGCAGCAGCACGAGCGAGAGCAGCAGCAGTAGCGATTCCAGCACGACTGGGAGCAGTACCACCACTCGCAGCAGCACTTCGGTGAGCAGTATTAGTGATAGTAGCAGCACAAGCGGCACCACCACGACTGGGACCAGCAGCGCCACGCGTAGCAGCACCAGCGCAACCAGCAGCACAACAGCGACCAGCATGTCGGTGAGCAGCACCACTCGCAGCAGCACTAGCGGGACCAGCAGAACCACTGCGACTAGCACGTCGGTGAGTGTTTCGAGCGAGAGCAGTAGCATCAGCAGCGTGAGCTTCACGAGCACGACTGGGACCGGCAGCGCCTCGGAGACCAGGAGCACCGCTGTGACGAGCACCTCTCGCAGCAGCAGCAGCGCCAGCGCGACCAGCACGACCAGCATCAGCACATCCGAGACCAGCGCCACCGGAAGCGCCACTCAGAACACTGAGGCACCATCTCAACTATTCGCAGCACTTCGTGGCAGCACGTCTGGACCTGGGGTCGTCGGGTTCGGGCAGACGTGGAGATGGGTAATGATTCCTCTGAGCAGGGGGAGGTTCAGATTCTGCACTACAGGCGAAAGGCAGAGTAAAAATGGGTAACCTTCCCAAGGGTACTCGTGCATCCTAGCTTTTCCGGTCTATCCGTAACGACGGCCCGCCCGTTCGAAAGTTTCGACATGGGCGTCCGGTGGGCTTCCGTCCTGATCGTGCATCTTTGCTATAGATATTGACGTCCCCCATGGGAGGTTCAAAATGGGAGGTTCAGACTCGGACCATACCCTGTCCCGTGGGGGGTCGCCACTGCAGGCTCGCTGACCCTCCACAGCGAGAGGCCGATCCACGGACGTGCGATGTATTATTTATTAGTCGTTTCTGCTAATCATTTTCTGCTGTGGCTCCTTTCTCGTTCTCGTCCTCCTCCCCCTCCTTCCCTTCCTGCATATTTGAACACCTAAGTGATCATCACTATTTCAAGTTGCCTCCGCTCAAGCCGAAGGCGCCCCGCCTGGTTTACGACGTTACCACTGGTCGGTGCTTGAACTGGGTTGGCCAGATCGACGGGGTTGGACCTGGCGACAGCGAAGCAGAATCACAATGATGGGTCAATGTCCACGGGTACCCTAGCATCCTTGCCTCTCGTGACTCTCGGCCCATCTTAAGCCATGTTCCATAAGCTTCCAACTTCAGCGTCAGTTTGGGCGTCCAGGGGCCTTGCATCCTCACCGCGCGTCCTTCTGATCCAGTCGCACAGTATGAGACCCGAACCCGCTGCCGCGCGCCACCGATACCCAAAGTTGCATTGAGCACGCCGCCCTCGCGCTGCTCGGACCTGCACTTCGCGGGAGCGTCGGAGCTCCTGGTTGATTGGTTTGTTGTGTTCCGTCCTCGCAGACTTGATGTTCTGCGGCTTTGCTCGCGCGCTGCACCGTGCGCACGGGAATACCGCGACCTTGGACCAGGAAAACCCCCAGCGTGCAAAACGCGTCGCCATCACAAAGAGCGGGTGATACCGGAACCAACCCATGTGCAAACACAGGGCCCAGCGAGTGTGGAGAGAGACCGCACCTAGGAGGCCCGATCCACCACCGCAGGCCGTCTCTCCGTTCTCAGCGCTTCAAGGCGGGGCGGGGCAGGGTTCGGAAGTGGCGCGGGTGCTGCCGATGTATATATATATATATATATATATATGCATGCCCGAATCATCCAAGACATTTGGCAGGGATTTCTGCGGGTGCTCAACTCTGAATCGGTGCGGTGACTTTCCATCCCCACTCAAGGCAAGGACAGTCGGATGCCCGCCCCCACTCTGGCCGAGGGCTCGTGCCCGGACGCCTTTCAGCGGCTCGGGCCCAGCACCGCAGTTGTTCACCACTCACCAAACCACCCCAACCCAACCCGAAGGCCCCAACTTATCCTCGATTTCCAGTGGGGGGGGGGTCGTGGAACATCGAGAAAACACATATGGAACCCGTACCCCCCCCAACCCGAAATTCGGGTCTTCGGGTTGGGTTGGGGTGGTCTGGTAGGTAGTCAGTTGTGTGGGAGTTGACGATGTCCGCCTCCTGGCGTGCTCAGGGCTTCCTGCGGGTACGCTTTTCACGCCGACAGTCACGAGTTTCGTCGCCGTGCGCGGCATGCGGCTGGACACGACGATGCGGCGAGGGATGAGACCTCAGCGTCCAAAGGTCCAGTTTTGCCAGAGCCAGGGAGGGGGATTCGCGAACGGTTGGCGGATACCCTGTTGAAGGCTCCGACTGGCCTGAGCGGCGCCTGCGGCGGAATGCAGCGCAAGCGTCGGAAGAACAAGGCAATCTCCATTGTATTACTCCAGGCGTGGGTCGGTCCAGATTGGAAGCCTCGCCGCCCATTTGAGGATGGCCCGAGAGGAAATTCAGAAAATATGCAGTTGTTGCGAACGTGTGGCACGTGGTCGCTTAATTTGCGCTGCGCGCCCAGGAATTCGACACCAAGTGATTAGGGAGAGTCTAAGGACGGCACGGACAGGGAAGCCGATCCATACCTACAATTTGTTGGCGCAGAATACAGGAGGCCCAGGGATATCCGGGGATTGGGTCCAAGAGCGCTGGGAACGCTGAAGGGGACATCAAACACCACAATCAACGACAGCTCAACTGGGCCATGCCCCTCGGCTTCCCGCTGCCCGAATGTTGGGCGATGACCTGAACAGGTGGTCGCGTTCGACTGAAGCATAGACAATCTGCGCGCGATGGTCTGTGGCGCGATCGAATTCCAGCAGGAAACGAAGAAGACGCCAGTTAATCTTCTGCATCGGCGAGAGGAGCCCAGATCGTCTGGACACAGACCGCCCCAACCGCCATTCTGATAAGCGCACGGAAAAGAGGTCTGCTCATCGTCGCAGCGGGACCCTTTCGCGCAGGATCCTCACCGCAAGTCGGGCCGCAGGCCGCCCCTTCCGATGCCGAGCACGCCTCGCGCGGGAAGCGTCGGCCAGTTCCGGCGCCGCTAAGAAAGCGAGTGAGATGACATTCGGCCGAGCGAACTTGCCCGCTCCAGCTCAAGCGCGGACTCCTCCTCCTCCTCCTCCTCCTCCTCCTCCTCCTCCTCCTCCTCCTCCTCCTCCTCCTCCTCCTCCTCCTCCTCCTCCTCCTCCTCCTCCTCCCCCCCTCCTCCTCCTCTTCCTCCTCCTCCTCCTCCTCCTCCTCCTCCTCCTCCAGAAGCGCTGCATTGTTGATGTCAGGGTGGGGGGAGCTGCCCGTCTCGCTGCGCGCGCTCCGCGATCGCCAGGAGGGCCGCAGCTCTGGCAGGGCACGGCGGCGCTGCTTTTGGGACGGCCGCCTCCTCCTCCTCCTCCTCCTCCTCCTCCTCCTCCTCCTCGTCCTCCTCCTCCTCCTCCTCCTCTTGGGGATCAGTGAGTAGACCAGCCCGAGGGACGGCAATCAGGCCGCCTCAGTCGACTGCAGCACACCATTCCCGAGCCGAGGGAGAGATGGCAGAGCCGCCCTGCCCCCCTGGCCGGCCCTTCTCTCCTGGCCGCCGGGGCGCGGCCCGTCTGCCTGCGTTTGCGCCTCCACATGTCCTCGCCCTGCTTCCTTCTCCCTCGCCATCTCCTGCCCCCTTCGCAGTCCCAGAGATTGACACCGACACCAAGATCGGCGGTGTGCCTCCACCGAGGGAAGACCATCCCGATCTCGGTGAAGCCAGAATATCATATTCTGGCTTTCAAGGTGACAGAAAGATTACCACCAACACCGAAGTCTAAGATCATCATCTCCCTGCGGAGGCAAACCCCTTTGCTGGTGTTGGTGCCAATGTCCAGGCCTCCAACCCCTGCCGTTTGTTGGTCCTGCGCACCCCCGGGAGCGCCGCCCCTGGCCTTTTTCGAGGTCACCCGAGTTCCGAGCTCCGAGTGTTCTTCGCCTGCTGTCGCCCACGTGTCCCTTCCCGCCCCGCCCGCCTCGCACCCCCCACTCGCCTTCCGTCGCTGCGCAGCGCAAGCTCCCGGGTGCCAGGGACATCTCGGCGCCTCCTCGGCTGGAGGCACGAGGCAACGGCAGAGACGCCCCTGCTGTTGACGACGATCATGACCACGACGCGCCATGCCAGGTCGAGCTCGACGAGCGCGCCTGCGCTGCCGCAGCCCGTGCCAGTACTGGACAACGAGCGCGAGATTGATTGCTCCGCGGTCGACCGTCGACCCGCGCGCGCGAGGCTTGATTATGCGAGGCGATCACGCAGGCGAGTTACATCGCAACCCCAAGCTTGAACGCGCCGCGCTCGCGCACCCATGAGGGGAGCACTTGCCGGCGCAACGCCGCGGCCTGCATCCACGCCCCCGGGTTGCCCGCCATCGGCTCGCGAGTTCGAGCGAGGAGGGCCCCGGCCCCGCGCCGTCGCGAGCCACCCTCGCCGTCTCCAGCGCAAGCGAGGTATGCGCAGCATTGGCTTCCACAACGCCTCGAAACTTCAAGGAGGGGGCGACGCGGCAGCGGCGCGTGGGCGCGACGAGCCCGGCGGCGAATTTCAACTCGAGCTCTCGCGAAAGCGCCTGCGAGATGGACGCGCATCCGCCGCGCGTGGACTCCACGCCTGCTCGCGGGATCGCAGCGGCCGGCGCGAAGCGCATTCGCCGAGGCAGTTTTTCGCGACGCGCTCTTTCGACATCCTCCACACCGATCGCGCGCGAAGACGGCAGCCGCCACATTGGGCCAGGCGCGAGAGGCGCGCCCTGCGCGGGCCGCGGGCGCCGCGGGCGGGGCGCGGCGAGGCGCCCCCCAGTGCCGGCGCTGGGATGAGATGTCGATTGGGGCAACGAGTAGGACCAGAATGAGGAGGAGGAGGAGGAGGAGGAGGAGGACGAGGACGAGGACGAGGAGGACGAGGAGGAGGAGGAGGAGGAGGAGGAGGAGGAGGAGGAGGTGCGGAGTCGGGCATATACGAAACATGAGGCCTTCATATGACTGACATGCTGCGGGACACCGTGCCACCTCACGAATCACATGTTCACCCTATTGCCATGCCCACCAACACACGAAGACATTGTGACCAAAAGCCCATTGAATGGCCAGACAAAAGCAAACGAGAGACATCCCCCTTCATCGTGGTGCTGAAGGGACTCAACATGGACTTGCACCTGCGCGCCACAAGCAGTACGCGACGATGGTTCCAGAACACCTGACCAGCCTGCCAGCACAACCTGAACAGTGCCAGGCCGTAAACTACCCTGCACATATCTCTCAAAATGCATGCGCCCATACCAAAACACAAAGGCAAACTGAACACAAAGCTTCCCACATAATCAGCGAACAAACTCATGTTCCTCCACATGACTGTAAGGTGTGTTGTGCCGACAGCGATAAACAATAACATCCAACCAGGCTGCACAAAAAGATGACGGGATACGCCCAGCCGACAGGGGGACGATTTGAAGGGCACGAGGCCCGCGGCACGTCCTCTCGCCTGCCGACTGGGACGGACCGTGCTGAAGAACAGTAGGAAGGAATACAAAATGCCCAGCCTGCACCTTGTCAACACGAAAGCGACATGGGCGATGTAAAACAACACCGCACGTGGCCTGCACCGCCAAAGTACTGCTGAGGAAAAAAAATCGCCGAGCCTGA